AGATACTTGGCATTTGTAACTCGCTCTAAGCTCTGGCAGGTACAGTATTCAGAGAAGCAATCTGAGTGAATACGTAAGGAATGGGCGAGGGGCGGTTCTGATGCTTTGGTTTTATGGAAACATAAATACTTTGTCTTGGAGGCATTCAAAGAAAGAAGATTGCCGTCGAGCCACTTTTTTAGAATAGCCATTCCCCTTTCAGCCTTATTAAACACAACCTCCCAGCATCTGTCATGAAAAATGGCAATAGTATCATCTGCATAGCAATATATTTCGACATCCCGTGGTGTTGCTTTATGAATATCGTTCATAAAGATAATGAACAAAGTTGGTCCCAAAACACTACCCTGTGGAACACCGAAGCGTACAGGCAGCTCGTCACTGACAAACTCTCCCACCCTTATGCACTGACGTCTGCCAGTTAGATAACTACGAAACCAACTCAAGGGCAAGCCTCTTATTCCAATATTCTCCAACTTTTTGAGTAGCAAGTGTACCGGTACAGTATCAAACGCCTTGGCAAGATCCAGTAGAACTCCAATACACTTACTACCTTTGTCAAGGTGATCGGTGACAGATTCAACCATGTTCGTGACAGCATCTTCTGTAGACTTTCGACGTCTAAACCCAAACTGCTTAGAGGAAAGTAAATTATGTTTTTCGAGATACAATTGCAGTCTTTTATTAACAATTTTCTCGAGTATCTTAGAAAACATACCCAGAAGCGAAATCGGCCGGTAGTTTTGGGGAATCTTTTTAGAGCCATTTTTATAGATAGGCACGACTACGGCCCTTTTCCAACTATCGGGGAACATCCCGGTTGCAATACTAAGATTGAGGATGTAAGTAATGGGATTAATTATTTCTGCCTTAATAGCTTTCAGTAGAATAGGGCTAAATCCATCAATGCCAGCCGCACTATCGCTTCTTAGCTGTGAAATGATACGATCAACCTCGAATGCATCGGTCGGCTGCATGAAAAAGGAAAAAGGAGCAGGGGGATCCAAACGAGGGTCATGCAATGTAGAACTCGAAGTCGTGCTTGTTTGCGCTAGTAATTTGTTTGCCAGTCTTTCACCGACGTTTGCGAAGTAGTCATTGCAGATATTAACAGATTCACTAGCGTCACCAGGTTTGAGATTAGTAAGTTCCACAGCAGGACTGGAGTTTCCCCCGAATTACTTATCCTCTTTATGGTCTTCCAGAGAGCTTTCGGATTATTTTTGTTACTGGCAAGTTCCTTTGATTCGTATTCCCTTTTTAAGTGATGCAAGAGATTCATAAGGTAGTTACGGTACCTTTTGTAGACCAATTCCTTCATTTTGTCATTGGGGTGCTTTCTAAAATCAAGATGGAGCCTGTCTCTGTGTTTCGTACATTTTAACAAACCGGAAGTCATCCAAGGCTTGAAGATTAGTTTTGAGGGTTTGACTCGTGTTTTGGTAGTATGGTTTCTGACTGCAGTGGAAATGATCAACCCAAAATTTTCAGAGGCCAGATCTACATCTTGGGTCGTTATTATACGTGACCAGTCTGCCTGCCTTAGTTCTTCTGCTACAGCCTTGTAGTTGATCTTTATAATTTCCTTAGTGAAAAGTTTTGACTTACGATGGGGCATTCCGGTACCAAGCATGCATATGCTATGGTCTGTGATGTCAGTGTGGCCAATCACACCAATCGAGTCAGACGTCGAACACCTCAAGAATATGTGATCGAGACATGATTTTGCTCTTGTAGGGCGTGTGATTACAGGAACCATAGTGAAATCTGCCAGAAGATCAAGATATTGGGACGTGTCCTCTTCATTTGGTTCAAGAATGTTTATGTTTAGGTCACCTGCCAGTATAAGTGTCGATGAGCGTTCGAATGACTTTAAAGATGAGTGCAGTGATTTTAGAAAAGGTAATTTGTCAGAGAAAGATGGAGAGCGGTATACCGCCAGGACAGTGCCTACATTAAAGATTTCAATTGATAGGCCCTCCGCTTCAGATAAATCCATCTCTTGTACGATTGTATTCAAATTATTTCGAACGTAAACCGTAACGCCACCACATTTATTCAAATTTTTGCTGGTTTGAAATACACTGAATCCAGATATTTGATTAATAATCGGGGTACATTGTAGCCAACATTCGGTAAGAATAATTACATCAAACACAATGTCCAGTCTTTTTAACGCGACCATGAGGAATCAAATTACGTTTAATGCTTCGGATATTTAAAGTTAAGAGTTTAAGCCCATAAGACTCATTGAGCACAGTTTTGCAGTTTTCCAACAAATTGAATTCGTGACATGTTATCGCAAAAGCTTCGTCCATCTCATTAACTATATCTATATTTATGGACGCCATTTCGGTGATAAGAACTTATACAGTACTGAAAAACAGATACACCCATCCAGAACGAAGCCTTTGCGAAGCGAAGCTAAGGGAAGAAATTTCAAGTTGTGCTCATCGAACATTCCTAGTTCAGGGACTAATAAGAAGTATGTGTATTTTTGGTATGTATGGGAGAGTGTTTATGAGATTGAGTGTTATGTAAGAGTGTGTGTGAGACTGAAAATGTGTAGGAATACAATGCCAAAAAATATAATAAAATGACAAGTGGTGCTGTGGTCGTTGGAGTTGGAACCGATCATTGTGGACTGTGAGGGTTTGCTGATATTTCGCCCGTGTTAGCCCCAACTTTATCATTGAGTTCTTGAAGCGTTCGTATGAGTACAGCGGGTGTTTTCTCTGCTTTGCGGACGTATATGGAACCATTAAGAACCCAGCAGTAGCTGTAGTTATGCTGTTTGATGCGTTTCCGAGCTTCACGAAATAAGCTCCGGTTAGACTTGCTTAGGCGCTCATACATGGAGATCTTGCTGGGGGTACCTGGTATTACACTCTCAGTAGTAACTGTACGTCTGGATTTTGCAGCTTTAATCAGTTCGTCACGCTTTGCGCTTCTAAGGAGCTTGACAATGATCGGACGTGGTCTCCAGTCTGTTTTCGTTACTTCCTGGTTCTTTGGAAGCCTTGGACCTGCTCTGCGTATACCATCAATTTCCACCTCCATCAGTTCAACGCCGAATTCATTCGCTATCAGACCAACGGTGTGTTGTAGATTCTCCTGGTCATGTTCAGCAACGCCATGGATTTCCAATTCGTTTCGCATACTCCTTTGTTCCTGTGTTGCCACCTGCCACTGTAGGTCTTCAATAGTGCATTTCAATTCAGTAATTGTCTGGCTCCTAAGATCAACTTTTGCCTCCATATAAGCAATTTTCTGCAGAAAAGAAGATGGTATATTTGCTAATTCGTTTTTGAGTTCCTGAACCTCTGATCTCAGTAAGGTGATTTCAGAACCCTGTTGTTTGAGTTCAGCGATTTCCGCTCGCAAATGCCGAATTTCTAGGACAAGCTCAGCAAAGTTTTCTGGATCATTAAGATTTGGGCTCTTGCTTCGATTGCCCCGGGTTACAGTAATGTTACTTGAATCTGTTTTAGTGAATATGTTGTTGAGACTAAAGGAATTTCGAACTGGGGTCCCCGAATTGTCACGCTTGGGCAGGCTAGCCACACAAATCGGACATGTCCAAGTTTGTTTATGTTGGTCAGAGTATTCTTGATATGTTTTTAGTGGGATGGTTAGGCAATCTAAGTCATATAGTTGCTGACACTTTGTGCATTCCATATAATTTAATGTGAGAATAGGTTTTCCACAGGCGTTACAGGTGGTAGACATTTTATTATATATGGTATGACCAAGAGTATTAAAATAATGCTCTTTCACAATTATTAAAGTTTCAAGTTTCCAAGTTATACTTTTCCACTCAAACAGGGGCAACCTTTTCAATCGTGGCAACACTGAGATATTGTCAAACACGAATGTGGAGCTGTCAGTTGAATTTGATTACTCAGTTATTACACTTACGAGGGTATTTCTAAATGTCATTGACAGTCCTCAACACACAAAAACAATGAGGGTATATAGTTACAAACCTAAACTCATTGATTTCGGACGTGATTGGTGCTAAAAATCGACGTTATTTATTGACGTTTCGTAGCCTTTATAGGCTACGTCATCGGAATCAAATTTTTATTTAATTTTGTAGAGCTACCTTCGAAAAACTTTTATTGAGCGTTCGGTTATTTGATTGGTCGATTTTTAAAGTTTTATTGTCTATGTATGAATTTATTACTTAATTTAGTTAATAAAGTATTTTATTTAAAATTCTTTTTTGTAATTTTGAGTTTATTTGTTTGACCCTTACTAACGTAAACTACCACCAGTTCCAAAATTGGGAGACCTTTCTGAGAAGAACCGGCGAAACAAACTCAAGAGAGGTTTTCTATCTCCTGCTTATGTTAAATTATTCAAACAAAAAAAACTAATAGTATCTGTTGGTCTTGCAGTGTGTGCTCGGGGTTGGGATTTTATCTCCTGTATAATGGGTTCCCAAGCTGGTGGTATATACCAACCATCTTCCCTGTTGAAATTTGGATAGTTTTTTAATCTCAATAGTATGCATTAGGGGGACCAAACCATTACATTAGATTTGATGTAATGGACCCACAGGAAAAAGGAGGGTTGGCAGACCATACAAACAATGGGTAGATGACATAGTCAGCATAGCTGGTCAGAACTGGACCAAGAAAGAAAGCAACAGGGACGGGTGGAGGAAAGGGGGAAATGGGGGAGGCCTTCACCCTTTCAGGGGACCATAATTATTAGTGTATAAGATTAACAAATTTTGTCGAACCTGCACCCTTTGCTATCCGGGTGAATGCACTGACCATTATGCTACCGCGGCCCTAACGGTTGTGTCGAATTCTTTTTAGCCTTGCCTTCGCAACTTACAGACTATAAAGCTGATCAAGATGGATGAAACTGTAAAGTATTTTTGTTATGAATCAAACTTACGAGGTTTCATACAAATGTAGTCATTACAGACCTCCAGTTTTTAAGTTTTATTTAAACATTGTTTTGGCTAGCATTAATGATAGATAGGTTACCTTCAAATAAACTGTCCAATATAGGCTTCACAGGACGCTCAGCCTCCCATGCAGATTGCTGAGTAAGAACATCTTGTTTAAAAACATAATTACAATGCCCATTTGTCATATTACTGACATATGCCATCATGGCTGTGACATCTAAATTAAGAGTAACCAACTCAGAATGATCCTGAATTTGTTGAGATACAGCATCAATCTTTTGACTGAAACAAAAATGAAGATAAAGACAAATATATAAACTGACTGAGTGAACAACAGTAGTACATACTATTTATAAAGAAAAACATTCCAAAATTACCTATCACATAATTCATCTTCTGTTGAACCAGAATCCCAGATGTCATTGAAATCATCTGGAGTGCAAGAATCAAGAAGTATGTCACCTTTTACATGGACACCAATACCTTTCAACTTATTTGCTAAACTTTCTTCTATTCCACTTGTAAATTCAAAAATTACCTAAAATAAATTCTAATAAATAAGAGAAATTAATAAAAATATAGACAGACATTGATTATGTGGGGGATGTAAAGATATATAAGATGTTTGATGACTTTTTAACAGGTAATTTAGCTTGAATATATTAATTTTCATTTGACATTTCAGACCCTTTACAGGAGACATAAGAATTAAATAAGATGTATCCCTCCTCTGTGTAAGTGGATGATTTCTGCAACGAGAACGCAAAATATGAAAAATGAAAATAATGTTCTCATATTTTCATTTTTCATATTTTGTGTTTTATCATATTTAGTAATGGTTTTTAATTTACACACCTATTATATAGATAAGTTTGTAGAGATGTACTGTAGAACTCAAATAATAAGAGGAACAACGGCCACAAAACTTTTTGATTTTCTGGCCAAATAGGGAATATCAGAAAAATACTTACTTTTGGCGGCTTGTACATGCATGGATATAGCTGAGCACATTCCAAATAATCTTCAGCTTGATCTAAAATTGATCTAGCACCATATGATGCTTTACCAGTACTTAATGCAGTCAGGGATTTTGGATTTCTGGCTATTACTAAAAGAATTTTAATAGGTATATATATTATATCAAAAAATGACCCCGAAATTCAACCACAGCTAATGGAATTAAGTACCAATGTAAAAATAAACTATGCCAACACAAACTTGAGTGGTTAACATTGATGACTGATGTGTTGTACCAAAATACATGTTTATAATAATATGGTAAAAACCTTATGTTTCTACCTTTAGTCCAAGTTTTTCCTCCATCACTAATTATATCAATAAGCAATTTGCTTTCATCATTAATATGAAATATCTTACAAACTGCAAGCACTCCCGGTTTTAAAGCAAAATCAACCATAGCACCCAAGTGCCGGAGATTTGAACAAGAAAGTTGCTCAACTTTAATTTTATCATTCTTCTGCAACTGAAACAGTCACAATTTTAGAATTAAAATAATATACTTTATTAATATATAGGTTCCACTGCATATTCAAAATACTGCGATTCGTACTCTTTTCAAAAACTCTACTTCTTGACGAATTTTCTTTTGTAATTTTGAAACTCCGTCTACGTCTTTGACTGACTGCAATCGGAACGTTAGATCTTCGCCAAAGTTTATTTTCTCCATGAGCATAGATAACAAGTTTTCAGAAGAATGTTCCATATTGTATGGTGTGTATAAGTACGTATCAATCTATTTAAATTAAGCATACACATTAGTTATTGTTCTGGGCATAAGCATTAATTTCGTATTTCCTTTTAATTTCACTACAATTTCACAATTACAACAAAACTACTAACTCAATACACACAACGTCAAATTCACAGACCAATAAGAGAACACAGACTAGTTAGAGATACGTAGTAAGAGAACAAGGTCAAATTTGACCTAAGATTTTTTTTTGTTGAAGTTCTCCCGTTTTAGGGAAGGCAAAGGGAACAATGCCCATACAGCCTAGTCTTTAATTAAATTAATCTTCTTTTTGTTTTTACATTAGAATGTCGGTGTGACGCATTCTAATGTTTCTTGGAGTGTTTGGCACGAAATGTATCGAGTTGGCTTTTTCGATAAGCTTCTGTGAGATAGTCAACACTACAATAAAATGCTCACGTCCACTTGACCGGAATAGCGTATATTTTAACGATTCCACTAATTCTTCAGTTACGTAGACGGTTGTTACACAAAACCACACCAATTTTCTTTCACAATATCCACTATGAACGAATTTAAGAATAATTAAAATAAGACGCCAACCGCACTCGATGAAATCCCGTCAAAAAACCTCTAAGATTTTTTTAAAGTTCTATTCTTCTCTATTGAGAAAGGCAAAGCCATACAGCCATCGTTTTATTTTTGTATTAATCTTCCTTTTTTTTACATTAGAATGTGGGTGTGACGCATTCTAATGTTTCTTGGAATGTTTGGCACGAAATATATGGAGTTGGCTTTTTCGATAAGCTTCTGTGAGATAGTCAATACTACAATAAAGTTCTCACGTCCACTTGACCGGAATAGCCTATATTTTAAAGATTCCACTAATTCTTCAGTTGCGCAGACGGTTGTAACACAAAATCACACCAATTATATTTCACAATATCCACTATGAACAAATTTAAGAATAATTAAAATAAGACGCCAAGAGCACTCGATGAAATCCTGCCAAAAAAAAAACTTAAGATACTATGTCAAAATTGAAACTTCAACTTACGGTAAAAACTTGCGGTCAGGTGGCTCAAGGCGTAGGTTTTGAACGCAGCCGGATTTGACATTTTGGCATGATTTTTTAATACCGACACTTGGCTATTCGTGTTTACTTGCCTTTTATAACTTCGTCCAAAAGTATTATAAGGGTGCGGCCAGAGTGCACTCAGATTCAGAGTCAGATTCAGATTCTGAAAATAAGCGCGAGAAATAAACAGTGTAGTCTAAGCAGGTTGCCTGCTTTTTCTCGCGCTTTGTTTTCTGAGTCTGAATCTGAATCTGAATCAGGAGTGCAATCTGGCCGTACCCTTCGACTACACTGTTTATTTCTCGCGCTTGTTTTCGAAATCTGAATCTGAATCTGAATCTGAGTGCACTCTGGCCGCACCCTAAGTCTCAATCCGGATCATATACTATATACGTATCAAATTTCATCGAAATTCGTTCAGTACCTAGTTTTTGCGTGATAATCACGCAAAAACTTTCACATTTATAAAATTAGTAGGATTTAAACTTTTGAACTATTTGGCCTATGTAAGCTTTCCATTTTTATATAATCTCGACTTTCTTTCGTGTATTCTATTGGCAAAAGTGACAATGGTTTATATTCTGGCATGATTTTCTTAACATAAAACTAAATATAACACCAATGTCGCCTTTGCATTCTGTATAGAGAATGACAAGGATTCACTACTGTAAAATTTAATTTTAGGTTTAGAGAATCATGCCAGAATCGACACCAATGCCGAAATATGTCCTTTTAAGTTTAATAACACAGGTAGACGACGGGAAGAAATCATTACCCCTGGTACAGCCAGTTGAACTAGGGTGAATTACTTACGGGAAAAAGAATAGTCCCTTAAACACCCAGTTATCTTGAGGTGAACTTTGGGTAGAGCAGAGACAAACATCAGTCTATCTATCCTACTGAGATCCTACTATATAGGTATATCCAATGTCTATATATTCTACTCATATTCTACCTACACCTAAATAAACATGATAGAAAAAAGATAATAAGGCCGCTGTTGTATGTCTCTCATCTATCCCGTATAATAGCAGTTCTTAATCTAAATCCTGTTTTTAAAGTAAGTCCATGACATGTTCAACCTATTCATTCCAGAGTTTTTGGCTGTATTTCATCGAGTGCGGTTGGTTGGCGTCTTATTTTAATTATTCTTAAATTCGTTCATAGTGGATATTGTGAAATAAAATTGGTGTGGTTTTGTATAAAAACCTTCTGCGTAACTGAAGAATTGGTGGAATCGTTAAAATATACGCTATTCTGGACAAGTGGACGTGAGAATTTTATTGTAGTGTTGACTACCTCACAGAAGCTTATCGAAAAAGCCAACTCGATACATTTCGTGCCAAACACTCCAAGAAACATTAGAATGCGTCACACCGACGATATTCTAATGTAAAAGCAAAAAGAAGATTAATTTAAGACCAGGCTGTATGGGCATTGTTCCCTTTGCCTTCCTTAAAATGGGAGAAATTTAACAAAAAAAAATTTCATTCCATTTTATGGTAGTTTTATTGGTCCTGATTTTGCTACAATTCTCAGAACTTATTACTAAATACAGGATTTTAATTTTTGACAAAGAATGTGTTGAACGATTTTGTTTTAGGGTTAGGGAACATTTTTTATGCTCATATGTGAATTAAACTTAGAAATTCCAGCGGTCTTTTTTTTTCCCGCCGTTTTATTGAAACTTTTTCCGGTCACGTGACTGACAACACAACAACCAATCACTGGATAGTTAACCAACTGACTGAAATAAAATCTACAATTTGAGAAATGGCTGACGAAAAAGAAGTGGAAAAGACTATTGCTGAAGACTTGGTTGTAACCAAGTATAAACTAGCGGGACAAATTGTGAATCGTAAGTCAATGTAGTTCTGAGTTTCTTCTTCATATATTTTGTAAGACTTACATACAAATTGTTTTCGAGTCTAGTGAGGCCACTTTGGACGCGTGTCAGCGCCATGCGGTGCCGCCTAAACCATGCATTAATACAAACCTTATTTTTAATCAAACAATCTATTTCTTTACTGGATTCTAATATGCATTTCTCTTTATATAGGTGTTCTAGAGCAGGTGATCGCAAAATGTCTACCCGACGCTTCAGCTCGTGAGATTTGCGAATTTGGTGATAAGTTGATCTTGGAAGAGACCTCTAAGGTTTTCAAAAAGGAAAAAGATTCCAAAAAAGGCATTGCCTTTTCAACATGTGTGTCCGTAAATAACTGTATTTGTCACTTCTCACCTATTCCAAGTGAAACTGATTATGTCTTGAAACAAGGTGATTTGGCGAAAATGTAAGTTTTATGTATTGAAAATTATTTATCTTTAGTTGTTAATTGGGATACTTTGAATAATTACTTTAAAAAGAAGTATAAATTATTATTTATCTGATTAAAACCTCTATCAGTTTAGTTTAAAATTGTACTGAATATAGAAGAATTTTTCATTTAATAACTGATACTTAGTTTGGTATTATCTATCCCAGCTTAAGACTTACCTAAAAACACCTTATCTTTATTACCCATTTTTAAAGGTCACTTCCCTGTTATCTTTTTGTTGTGATTGTGCTTTCTCATTTGTCAAGTAACAATAACATGATTATATTTGCTATAGTTTTAATTTGTTAAAGATTGAAGGTGAAAATATTTTTAGTGATTTAGGTGCACACATAGATGGCTTCATTGCTGTTGTGGCTCATACAGTGGCAGTGGGAGGTGGAGAGGTGACAGGGCGTGCTGCTGATGTGCTCCTAGCTGCCCACCAAGCTAGTGAAGCTGCATTACGACTTTTGAGACCTGGTAATGAGGTATGCATAATAAATAGGTATTGTTCTGTGTATGTAAATAAATCTGTAATGCAGTGCTGTATATAATACCCTGAATCTTTCCTATTTCATTTCCATAATGATACAGGTACAAGCACAGGGAAAAGAATGAGTGTCTCACTTTTCTGTAGCATTTATTGAATTCTTCAACAAATGAAAAAATGGGACTACCACATGCTGTACATGTTTTATTGGGTCTTAAATCTTTGATAAAATAATAATTTATTTTATATCAGTTTTCTTTTTTCAACTAGAACACTGCTATTACTGAAGTGGTCCAGAAAATCAGTGCAGAATATGGATGCAAACCCATTGAAGGCATGCTTTCCCATCAACTAAAACAATTCCGCATTGATGGAGAGAAGAGTATTATTCAAAATCCATCAGAGGCACAGCGTAAGGAGCATGAAAAGGCTACTTTAGAAACATATGAAGTGTATGCTATGGATGTACTTGTTTCAACTGGTGAAGGTGTTGTAAGTATCATGTAACTATTAAACCTAGTATAAACAGTAATCTAATAACATTTCCTGAATTCTTTCCAGATATAGTTTACATTTACTTATTTGGCAGTACTCAGGAGAAATTATTTGGTAGAACTCTTAACTAAATAGAATTTTATTTCAGTTTAGTTTTTTATATACCAACAACCAATAAACTTATATATAATTATCTCTTTAGCCTAGAATAATTTATGTTGTTTCTAAACTACAAATTATTATTATTTATCAGGGTCGTGAGATGGATACAAGGTGTACAATATATAAGAAAACTGATGAAATATATCAATTAAAATTGAAGGCTTCAAGAATGTTTTATAGTGAAGTAAGTGCTACTTAAAATAACCACATAAAAATCCCAATTATTTTTGTTTTGCTTTTATAGTTACTCATTTATAGTAACTTATATTTGAAAATCTTGGGAGATAATAGTAATGTGTTTGAACCAATACATTTGATTAGTGTATTGGTATAGATCATTACAACAAATGTAATGTAATTTATGATACTATTACCCATTTTATTTTAAAAAGTAGTCAAATTAATACTTTGAATATATGTATATCTGACTTTATTAAACTGTTTTTCTTAATATTCAGGTTCGCAACAAGCATGGTAACATGCCTTTCAACCTGCGTAGTTTTGACAAGGAGACAAGTGCAAGATTGGGAGTTGTGGAGTGTGTTAACCATAAACTTATTGAGCCTTTTCAGGTTAGCTTTGTTTTATGTCTACACTAGCTATCCCCCTTGCGGTTTCTGCATTATAATATTTATTTTGGAGAGAATTCCTTGGGAACCTTTTTTTTTCTGAATAAAAGTGTCCTATGTATAATATATATGCCAAATTTTGTCTAAATCTGATCAGCTGTGTTAGAGTGAAAGAGTAACACATCACATCAATACAAACTTTGTGTTATGTTAGTGAAGTAGAAGTAGAATATATATTTATGTCAAATTTCATCCAAATCTGATTAGCCATTTTAGTGTGAAAGAGGCAGACAAACATACAAAATTTCGTATTATATTAGTAGGATTAGTGGAAGTAGGATTTACAAAATTGTGATTATTAATAACAAGCCACAACTACAATTTATATTATTTTCATACTCAAAAGATATTTGCTTATAATTGAAACAGTGTTTCTGCTGTTTTTTCATTTGATTAAATTATCTTTCTTTCGAAGACTAACTTTAAAAATACAGAATGTCATTTTCATAAGTTTAACAGCTATTCTAAAGTATCTTCTTAGTTTTTGTATTAGATTGTTATTCAACTAAAAGACTATACAATTTTGTTTCTAGGTGTTATATGAGCGTCCAGGAGAGCTCGTAGCACAGTTCAAATTCACAGCCTTACTGCTGCCCAGCGGTACACATCGCATCACCGGACTCCCATTTGATAAAAGTCAATGCAAGAGCGATCGTACCATCAAGGACCCTGAATTAAATGTAAATATAAAAAAAATGATTTTTCTAAATTCTCCCTGTTATTTTTCAAACTATGCTCTGTAGTATTTTTTGGACAAGCGCAGGGTATAAAGTGTGTAATTTTTTTGAGCCAATATGTTTACTTTAACGTTTTGGTTTGTATGATTACAACATTGTATATTATATAAATCTCTTAAACAGAAACAAAGACAAAACAAATTTCTCACCAATCAAATAAATACATATTTAATCTTATTTCAGTCCCTACTCAACTCTTCTGCCAAGTCCAATAAGAAGAAGAAAAAGAAAGCTGGTACTGAAGAGGCCATGGAAACGGAAACAGTTGCCTAGCAATGGGAATACATTTGAAACTAAATTTATAGAAATGAAAATCACATTTTAATATCCACCACTACCCTAATGTTTTAAACCAGCAATACTTATTCTGTTATAACTATTGTACAGCAGGAAAATGTTACTCATTCATAATGTAACTTGAATTTGTTTAATAAGATTTTTTCAATTGGCATATGAATGATAAAATTAATGTTAAAAATTTTAATATTTTATGTACAAATTTCTTCAGTCACTAGCCACATTTTTAAGAACTATTACTTCATAGTTATGAGTGCTGATTAGTATGTATATTTTAGATATCAAGGTCTCAAAATAAGTTCAATTACTATGCTTTTACATTGACCTAATGAATGCAATAAAAGTTCCGACCGTCAAACATATCTTGACAAATTACGTAAATAGTAATTATTTTGTCACCACCAATAATGTAGGATTACGCATTTTTTTTCTTTTTAAGCTAATGATTTGTGTTTCGTTGTACCGTGCACATTTTGTTTTCATTGTGACCTCTACCGAAAGTAACAACAGGTAAATTTTTAATAAGAAGTCAATAAGTACTCATTTTGTGTTCTCTGCAGCAAAAGGATTAATAATGTCTGGAAGATGAGTAAAGAAATTGGATTGACCAAGTTGAAGATTGTCACAAAATAATAACCTTTTGCACACACTTACCCTTATTGCCACGGGGGCAAATTGCCTAGCGGTATTTCTATGGCTATCGCTTACGATTTTATTTAGTTCTTTTTGACCGTCGATGGTTTGTAAATGCCACGCACCTTTTTTTCCTCTTTTGCAAATGTAATAGCAACATTAAAGAAAATAAGCGTGAGTTATTTGAAAACCTTCGGCGGTCAGAAATAACAAAATGATATCGTTAGCGATAGCCAGAGCAATCCCGTTTGGGGATTGGGCCCCACTTTGGATTACGGAACCCTATCTCGCTTTATGTAACCCGAAAACCAGAATTTAACGAGTTCAAAAGTATTTGATTAACAGTGGATCCTCAAAATCACAAAAGATATTCTCAGCTGTTATAAAGAAACTTCGAACAACGAATGATGTTAACTATTAATAGAAGGATGGCACCGGGGAGATTAATACAGAAATACCTGCGAAACCTTCACTCTTCCTGATTATTCAGATGTAAAGAAAAGCATACTTTCATGATATCGAGGTAACCGGCAGTAGCAGACCACAAAAGCGTTCTTATCTTACTACATAAGGACAAAAAAATATCGAGTTATCATCCGCAATACAATGTTTGATACATTTGGACAAAGTTACAAATACGAATTGTTGTTTTCTGTGTGGGTCTGTATTTCTGTCCTGCTGCAGAGCGATTTTTGTTTCTTATGATGTTTGCCGAGGTAGGGTTTTTAAAATTCCGATCATTAGTTCCGCCTTTTCCAATAATTATCCGTACCTACTTTTAGTCCTTATCTGTATATGGAAGAAAGGAATATTTGTCCTGATTTTCATACAAGTATGCATTTATTACTCATGTGAATTGCACAAATAGAAAGTGTGTGTATTGAAAGTATTTCTTACTAAAATGACGTCATTTGTTTCAAAATATATTTGTGAGCTGACTGCGCTAAGAATGTATAAATGTTCTAAAAAGTTGTAAAAATGTGACATTAAGAAAGAAATAAATCGGATTGGCCACAGTGAGCTGTTTTGTATTTTCTCTTTTATTTATACAAATGCTAATAATTATGTTAAAAGATTTGAATTTACACTCCCGGACACCTAAATCGAGTCACCTTGATTTTGTTGGTTTGGAGTACTGTAACTTATAAAAGATGTATGTTGAAGGAAAATCTTTTGATGCAGTTTTGGTGCTGGTATACTCATCATTCATTTAGAGTACCACTGTTTTAAATTTCAACTACAGTTTATTAAAAAAGTCGTGTAACGTTGAAACAAGTCCATATTTGCTTTTTTCAAGGAAAAAAATCTATTTTTAAATAAAGACATGTTTTACATGAAAAGAAATGTTTATTTAGTAACTTGTATTGCCTCCTAGTGCATTTATGACAGCTCTCATACGGTTTGGCATAGAATTAATCAATGTCGTTGTGACATGTTGAGGAATGTCCTCCCATTCTTCCAAAATTACATTTTTGAGCTCCTGCATGGTTTGCGGGGCAGGATGATGAGCTCGAACACGCCTCTTCAGTTCATCCCATAGATGCTCTATAGGATTCATATCAGGACTTCGCGCTGGCCATCTCATAACAGTGATACCAATGTCATTTAAGTACTCCCTGACGATTCCCGCAGTATGGGCCCTTGCATTAAAACGAAATCTTGGCTAATATATCCTGCATATGGCATCACGTGGTTCTCTAAACATTGGCGAATATATCTTTGCCATCGCCATCTAGGGGCGGCAGTCGTGGTCCCGTCACTACCTCTAGCTCAGTTTTGCCTTCCATAGAGATTCCTCCCCAGACTGTCCATGATCCTCCACCATAACTCACTTTCTCGTCAATACAGCATTGCGCGAAACGCTCGTTCTGTCTTCGGTACACCTTACTCCTTCCGTCATTACCGTATAGCATTATCTTGGACTCATCTGTGAAGAGAACCTGGCCCCATTGATGTCGAGTCCAATTTAGATGTTCGCGCGCAAACTGTAGACGGGCTATTCGGTGTGCTCGTGTCAATTTGGGTTCATTGGCTGGCTTATGGGGCTTAAAACCACGTTCAGTGAGTCGCCTATCGGTTCGAGCACTTACAGCCACTCCGTGAAAGTCCCTGAGCTGTTCTTGTATCTGAACAGAGTTAAGGCGTCGATTTCGTAAGCTAGTAGTGACAATGTATTGATCATGTCTCGCCGTTGTCACTCGGTAACGAGGTCCTCCTGTTCGCCGAACGAAGCCGCCAGTCTCCAGGTATCGGTGGTGTGTACCACCGATACCTGAACCTACCGATACCGATACCTGTTCTTTGAACAGCGGAACGACTTATGTGAAGTTGTGAACTCACATCTCGCTGACTTAGCCCAGATTGAAGCTTGCGCGGCTACTTCAGATGAAGTATCCATAATTTTATAGCCAAAAACGGTTCAAATTATAGAAAAATAACTAAACTAAACTTTGGTTTACAACAATTGCGAAAATTCAAACCAAATCGACATTAAATTGTCTCAAAAGCAACTTTCAACAGTCATTATTTTTTTCAAATCGGTGACCAAGCTCGGCTTTTGTTCTTTATTTTAAATTATAAAATTCAAATTTGGAATAATACATACGGGAAAGACGATGAAATATGCCAGCATTAAAAATGCATAAAAACTTTTTTGTTATATTGAATGGAAGGGAATGTAAGGTGGCTCGATTCAAAGAGTCCGGGAGTGTATTAACCATGATATAAAATGACCTTCACGTTAATATATTCTGGTTCTCCGGACCTTTTAGGCCGAGTTCGGATGGTCGCTCACCAACACGCGCAGTCATTACGTAGCTAGGACCATTGAGAGAGTTTTGACAGCTCCGCAAAGTAACATAATCGTCAAAACTTCTATGAAAATTAAGCAGCGCCCCTTTTGGACGCAAGAACAAACTAGCTTTTTCCATACAAAAGTGACGATTTATGGAGCTGTCAAATACTCTTGCTTGAGCCTCTGATGATCGCGCGCCGCGCGATAGTCACTAATGGTACGGCCAGAGTGCACTCAGATTCAGACTCGGAAAACAAGCGCGAGAAATAAACAGTGTAGTTAAAGCAGTGGCCATAGTGGCAGCAGGTAACCTGCTTAAACTAGGGATGTCGAAAGTTGAAAAAAATATCGATACATCGATCTTTTAAAAAATATCAATATCGGCTTCGATATATCGCGAAAAAAACATCGATATATCGGACCAATTTTCCCAAAAATATCGTACAGTAGCTCACGAAACATACACGCGGAATAATAATGGAACGAAAATTTTCTCCCTAAAAATAGACCCTATTTTCGAATGATGAAAATGATTGCAGGGCCTCTCAGGTAAATTATTGCAGGGTCTCTTTCGTTAACAAGACTAGACAATCACACACTTCACAGAATATAATGGAAATCAGCACAACCAACTCACCAGCGAAACAGATTAACAAATAATAGACAATACTAAATACAGCACAGATCATAGATATGTTGAATATCATTAATCTGAGATCCAGTTACGATTTTTCCAGATACGAATTTAGTTAGATCGCGATAATAATTAAAAAAATATCGTTTTTGATACGAATTTCGATATTGGTTATTTTGTATCGATGTATCGATATATCGAATCAAAATATATCGGCAAAAAATATCGATATATCGAACAAAAAATATCGATACATCGATATATTTTCAACAAGCCTAGCTTAAACTACACTATATATTTCTGAGTCTGAATCTGAGTGCACTCTCTCTGGCCGTACCCTAATCCGTCAAAGCAGGTAGGTCGCCAATAAATTAGCGTTTTCCAAAAAAATATACGCCCCGCACTTTTGGGCTGTCCCCCTTGCTTGAAGTGAAAATAATACTTATCTTACCAATTTTAATGACTGAAAAGCATTAAACACACTCGAAACTAGTTTAATTCATACAAAAATCTTACCATTTTGCGTTAATATTTAAATAATTACCATTTTTAAAAACAAAGTTTCAAGCTCTCCCACTCGCTTTTTCTCTCACTCTCTTTGTTCTCTTTTCAGACCAAGCTCTCCCTCTCGCTTTTTTCGATGTCGAAAGGCGATTCTGTATTTTTAGGGTTCCGTAGTTAAATGGCAAAAAACGGAATCCTTACAGATTCGACGATTCGTCATGTCCGTCCGTCCGTATGTCACAACTACTTTTTTCCGAAACATTAACAATTATACTATATATATACATCAAACCCTTAAGTGTGTGGTATCTATGGATAGGTTGCCAAAAATAATATTGAAGTTTCTGATATCATTTTTTTCTAAACTGAATAGTATGACGATTAAGTACGACCATATCTCGCTCTATAGAAATCGACTCAAGTGGCTGTCCATACGTGACCGTAGAAATCTCCGGATTGTATTCATGATTTTCGCTATTTTATACGATCCACGTGCCCCAGAATACTTGAAATATAGGTTTCAGTTTCTGGGTCCCTCCAAACCACATGATCTTCGCTCTTGCAG